GGTTCCCCCCCCCCCCCCCTGCTGTGCTTATGATCATGCTCCTGGTACTGCTTTGCCCCAAAACTGAGGCATTATGGTAGTAGGAGGGGGTATCCTGAACTACAGTTTCTTTGTTTGCCAGTGTCTAATCCTCCTTTAGGCAGCAGTATGACCTGAAGATTAAAGTCTCCCTGTGTCCCTCAGTGAACGCCTAGAAAAAGATTTTACCGTGATTACAAAAATTCCGATATTTCTCGGCTGTTTCAAGGTTTTTGCTCAGTTAGCATTGCTGCAAATCACTGTTTTATTGTTCACATTTAGCAGCGGGAGATGAAGAATCTTCTTCATCAAGCGACTTGTTTCTTTGTAACTTTAGGTAACAAATCCAGCATGTCAAAGGTGTATCGGTGTGACGTCTGCAGCTACACTAGTCCCACGTACGTTGGTGTTCGCAATCACATAAGAATTCATACTTCCGACAAGCCATATAGGTATGTGACCGACTTGGTTTATTCTCCTGATAGCATTTGCCTCTGGGTTTTAATCGTTGGTGATCCCAATCACTCAGATCTCATATAAGCAGCAACATGTTAATGTCATGACAAGTCAATATCAGTCTTTTCTAAATCTGTGTCTTCGTTGTGTTTTTTTTTTTTTAGTCAAAATTTGCACCATCTTCATTTGCCAAACCTGTCTCTGATAGGGATGCACCGATACTGGTTTTTCGGTAACGAGTACCGACATTTTCTCTTCGGTACTCGCTGATACCGAAAACCGATACTGGAAGTCCCATTAAGGAAGCCAGGCAGCATGTAATGACTCGCCACCTGGCTTCCTGATTAGCCGGGAACCCGGGTGGCGTGTAAAGACTCCAGGGAAGCAGTCTCCATGCTCCCTCATTGGCTTTTTGGCCAATCAGGAAGCCGGGCGCCGTGTAATGACTCGTTGACTTGGTCGAGAAGCTGGGCAACGAGTCATTACCCGGCGCCCGGCTTCTTGATTGGCTGGGAAACCGGCTCCATGCTCCCTCGTCACCAGGTGACAAGGGAGCATGGAGCTGGCCAATCAGGAAGCCAGGCAGCGTGTAATGACTCGTCGCCCAGGTTCTTGATACCGGAAGCTCAGGTTTTGGGAGCATTTGGGCTCCCAAAAGAGTACTCGCCCAAATACTTGGTATCTGTATCGGTGCATCATATGTCTATATATCCATCTATTTTATACACACCGATGACGAGGGAGAACACACACATATACACGCTTGGTGATGAGGGCGTTTGGAGCCAATCAGGAAGCCAGGTGCGGGTAATGACTCGCCGTCCAGCTTCCTGATTGGCCAGCTTCCTGACCAATCAGAAAGCTAGGCGGCGAGTCATTACAAGCTGCCCGGCTTCCAGACCACTCAGGAAGCCGGCTCCATGCTCCCTCGTCACCAGTTGACGAGGGAGCGTGGAGCTGGCTTCCTGGCTAATGACTTGCTGCCCGACTTCCTGATACCGGAAGTATCGGCCCATGAAGTATCGCCCAAATACTCGGCATCGGCACTGATACCGATACTAGTATTGGTGCATCACTAGTTTCTGACTTTCGCAAACATGTCTGTGTGCTTCCCAGGATTCTAGATGCAGGGGTTGCCACTAGGTATACATACACTTTACTATAAAAGAGACGGCCTCATTTGAATCTAATTGCATCGCTGATTTGCGTGACAAATGTGTGTTTGCCTATTGGCAGGTGTTCGCTGTGTGGCTATGTTTGCAGTCACCCTCCATCCTTGAAATCGCACATGTGGAAGCATGCCAGTGATCAGAACTACAACTACGAGCAAGTAAACAAAGCCATCAATGAAGCAATGTCACAGAGTACTCGGTATGTAACATAAAAGCTGCAGTTGGTCATGGCAAAGTCAAAGCTTGAAAGGTCTTACTTTTTGTACAATTTTTAAAGAAGAACTCTAGGGAATTTAGTTTTGTCTAAGGGTCTCAAATACAGCAGATAATCCCAACTGATCCCCCGCTTTCCTGACTGCCATCGCTCACCCTTGTCCCCCTCCTCTGCTCCTCCCTTGGTGTCCTCCTGTCTAATGCAAGTTAATGGACCTGCAGTAGACGTGATGACAGTGCTTTGATTTTCAGAGGCCAGGGGAGAAGAAGCTGAAGAGGTCGGTCTAGCAGCCCGGCAGGACTGTGAATCGGGTGATGATATATCCCCTAGACCAGTGATTCTCATCCTGTGTGACCTCCTAAGTTGCAACGCACTGGAGTGCACAGCATTGCAGCTCAGTGCATTCTGGTGCAGGTGATCGAACTGCGGGTGGGAGGTACGTTTGGGGTGCCATTCAAATGAATAGCAATGCAACACACCTCCCGCACCAGAACCTGCTGTAGATACGATTGCATGTTACAGATCACATGGGACTGTGTGAATAACGCACTGTACTAGTGTGAACGGGCTCTCAAAAACACTTGACAGACGCACACACAACCACAGGCACAATCTCAGACACTCACACATGCACACCATTTTTTTTTTCCTTTTTAAGATCCACCCAGTCTCCCTATCTTACAAGAACTGGAGTGGATCCTCAGCCTGGGGTCCAGTGCTGTGACGGAGCTCCATCCATTTGAGCATTGCTTGTACAACTCCCTTGCATGCCCTGTATAGGTGCTGGGAGCCAGAATGTGATGTCACTCCAGTCCAGGCACCTCTACAGGACACGTGAGGGAGCTGTAATCAATCCACATATGGATGGAGCTCCCTCACAGCCATACCCCCACCCCACCTTAAGCTGACACGCTCCATGCTGGGCAGCATATTTTAAAATGGCAGCTTGGTGCGAGAACTGACAGTTCTGCACTAGGGGGAGTCTGAAATGCAGTAGAAGACACGCAGTGACCCACTGAACACGGGGTTGTGACCCACCAGTTGAGAACCATGGACCTAGACATAACAGCACTTTTATAAATTGCTGGAGTTCTTCCTTAACTTTCCAGCAACCACCCCCTGGATGAACTATGCATTGCATGTGCTGGGGAAATGGGTGTTTATATGGTAGAGAATTGGGTTGGCATAGTAATTAGCACAGCTTATTTCTGACTCCCAAAAGATGTTGGCACCTAGTTGATGAGTAAAGCTTGTCTCCGGGCTTCCCCTGACCGTTGGCATTCCAAAAAAAAAACCTAAATGCCCTTTTTGGCACATCAGCAGTCAAGTGATGCTCCAGCTCCTCCAAGTCTTCTGTCTTCTTATGGCATACGGGGTCCTTTTTTTTTTTTTTAGACGTTGACATTACTGCCTGCATGATGTGGAAACTTCTTATTGGCTCTTCAGTGGTGGGGTCTTCTCAGGATCCAGAAGAAGAGTCTGCGGCAGCGATGTCAGCGTAAGGAGACTGTTGGGGACCAGCCGGCACAAGCACATCGGCTGTGCTAGATTAGCAGTGGGTATATCTTCACAGGGTCAAAAAGAAAACCTTGGGCAGTGACAAGTGGGAGGTTGGGTTAATATTTGCACAGAAATGAGCTTTAACCCCTTCATGACTGAGGCCCTTTTTTCCATTTTTGCACACATGTTATATTCCACATTTTAGGCCTGAAAATGACGTAAAACCCCCCAACATTATATATTTTCTGAATGCCAAGACCCTATAGAATAAAATGGTGGTAGTTGAAATTTTTTATGTTGCGCAATATTAGCGCAACTCCTTATTAAACCCCAAAATTTAGTGACAAATTTAATTAAATGCCCCAAAACACAACAAATTACCCATTTTTTTAATGAAATATAAAAGATGAGGTTACAACGAGTAAAACGATACCCAACATGCCCAGTTTACAGATTGCGTGCGACCGTGAAACGGCGAAAAACTGCAGTACCCCAAAAAGTCAATAAAAGACACTTTAAAAGCCCCCACAGGTCATCAATTTAGAGATACCCCAAAATACTGGCCCTAGAATTATTGCTCTCACTCCGGCGTGCGCGGCGATACCCAACATGTGTAGCGCGTTCGTCGTTTTCATGCGTAGGCGCACCCGACGCGTGTTTACGTGGCGACGCGCGTGCTCGCGGGGGCGGGGTACTTTTAAAATTTTTTTTTATTATTATTAGATTTATTTTATTTCATTTTAATTTTAAAAACTGTTTTTTTTTTTTTTTTTACTTTACTTTGACTGCTATCACATGGGGGGGCTTGCAAGCCCCCCCATGTAATAGCAGATGGTGGTGACAGGTCCTCTTTAAGGTGATGCTGGGGGTCCAAAAGACCCTCAGTGTCACCTTTACACTGGAAATGAGCTATTGAAGTGCAGATCGCACTTCAATAGCTTATAGCTGGGCTGCAGGAGCCCAGAACTGACAGCCCAGGGACCGGAAGTGATGCAATCTGCATCGCTCCCGGTCCCATAGAACGGGGAGGGGATCGATGAACGGAAGTTCGTCGACCTCCTCCCCAGCTCCCCGCGGACACAAAGATCGCCGGTCCCGGGCCCGTAGGAGGGGCAACGGAGCCCGGGAAGCACGGCGGGGGTGTCCGGCGGGGGGGGGGGGGCCCCTTCTTCGGGACGCAGAAGCGATCTGGCGACAGGTAAGTCGCCAGGATCGCTTCTGTTGTAAAGCCGACAGTCGGCTCTACAAGTTTAAACAGAGTCCCGGCGGCAAAAGTCGCCGGGAGTCTGTTTAAACAGCCCCGATGCTACGTCGTCAGTCACGAAGGGGTTAAAGGAGAACTATGGGGTTAGGGCTTTTCCCCATAGTTCTCCTAAGGGTAACTGGAGGACACAAACTAGCGTCCTCCCATCACCCTAATCTCAGTATACCGCGAGCAACAGCTCCCGGTATACTGTGACGTTGCAGCTAAAACGGATCCTGACAATTATGTCTGGATCCGCCCAGCTGCCGGTATGTGTTCGCTCACTTCCCGATCTACTGAGCCGACCTGTGACAGTCTCATTGTCACAGGTCGGCTAGAACTATGAGGATAAGTGAAAAGCACTCACCTCATAGTTCTCCTTTAAAGCGGACCTTTACCCATATCTTTTAAATAACACACACACACCTTTTTAGAAATGTTTAGTAACGACAATTTACAAACGCATACTTCTAGATAATTGCCGGCTTTTTATTCTCTGCATATCTTTTCTCTTTTCTTCCCCAGTCTTATGACAGTGGCCATGTTTACTAAGGGCAGGTTACTAGCTCTCCTTTCACTTCCTGGATTTCTGGCACATGTGACTAGGACATGTGACCATGCACATCATCTCAGGGGAGGAAAATGCCTTTCACTGAGATGAGATTTCCCAGCAATGCTCTGCTGGTGACAAGGCAATCCCGGTGTGCATTGCTTTGGCAAACTGAAGTCATTTTGCCCTTTCAAAGCAGGAAGTGAATCTTCTGCAAGTGTAAGTATTTCACAATCACAGCATTTTACACCTGACATGTCTATGTTATTATTAATAAACATACATAGAGGGATGCATCGGTAGAATTTGATTTTTGAGTGTAATGATCCGCTTTAGGAAAAATAAACAGACCTTTAAAACTAGAACTTTCTCCGTTTCTATTTTGTCTGTCTTCCATTCTGCCCTTTGATTATGGACTGACTACGTGATAAAAGTGTCTTTACTCCTAGACAGTACCATGTATGTAGTTGTTTTTTGCCTTGTTGACTCTGGTATATTTTTTTAGGCCTCAGCGAGACCCACTGAAAAAGCTGACGCCAGAAGACTCCTCCACCGCAGTGGACAGCGACACGCTCACTTCTGCGAGTCGCCCAGCGCCGGAAGTAACAGGTTACATCGAGAACCAAAACGTCAGCCAGTCACAAAGTAGCTTGTGCAGCAATGAAAAATTACAAAGCCAGGTGAGGCCCGGGACCGAGCTTTGCGTTCTGCTCTTTTGCTGTTGCATTTGTGGGTTCGAGTCCACCAGTAAGGAACTTCTGATGGAACACATGAAAGCACACGAGGGAGAGATCATCAACATCATATTGAACAAGTCTGAATCCACATCCTGAATTTGGAGCTCTGCATCGCCTAGGCCTGAGATCCAGATGTCTTGTGGAGTCTGTAACTTATTATTTTTCTTTAATTACAGGACACGCACTCTAGAGAACAAAAAGGTACCATTTGTCACAAGGAAGAGATCGTATAAGCACTTTGTTTCTTTTTTTTTGCCAACCCAGCTTTCATTATTTATAGAGTATATCCAGACAACAAGTAAGGTCGCTGCTTTTTTTTTAATGTTTTAGGAGATGCTGCAACGGTGCTAAAGTCATGAATTTGACTTGATCTGTTTTAACCAAATCATTGCAGTCTGCTTGGGATGTTGTCCCATGTGACTTCTGATCAGGACTGCGTGCTCTTGTCATGGGATGCAGTGTAACATCTCAAGCTCTTGATGAGTGTAGATAAGGTTCTGGGAGAGGACGGAGCTGGAACCAGCAAACACATCGGCCTGTATTTTCACAGCACATAGGGATTCTGTCAGAGTTTAGCAAGCAGAGTAAGCCAGTGGTAAGGCCTCATTCACACGGCTTGAGTGGGGCCGTACAGCTCCGTGTGGCGTGCACGGCCACATCGGGCCGTTCCTGGGAAAGACAGGTGCTCCGTGTGATTGTACGCAGCAGCCTGTTCTTCTCTATGGGAGTACGCGGCCGTACGATCACCCGAGCTGCACATCCGTGCGGGTGCTGGTGTCCATACTCGGACGCAGGCAGAATGGACCCTGCTGGTTACTCTACACCACTTTTCATCTTTTAGGCCTCATTCACACAGCTTAGAGTGAGGCCTACAGATCCGTGTGGCGTGCACGGACGTATCGGGCCGTTCCTGAGAAGGACAGGTGCTGTGTGTGATTGTACGCAGCAGCCAGTTCTTCCCTATGGGAGGACACGGGCTGTACGCCGCCGTGCGCTCAACCGGGGCTGCACATCCGTGCGGGTGGCGGTGCTTGGGACGCAGACAGGATCCATTCTGTCTGCGTCCGAGTATGGGCACCCGCATGGATGTGCAGCCCCGGTTGACCGTACGGCCCGTGTCCTCCCATAGGGAAGAACAGGCTGCTGCGTACAATCACACACAGCACCTGTCCTTCCCGGGAACGGCCCGATATGGCCGTGCACGCCGCACAGATCTGTAAAGTAACATGCAGTGTCTCCAGGTTCGATGTAGATGGAACAAATGTTGGCATTTGATTGGAGCATTTCTTTAAACTTCTCTGTTAGCCCTTTTAAAACATTTTTTTGTGATGAGTTGGGGAAATCGCTATTTTTGTTTCCGTTATTTAAGGACGAGATATTTGCAGGCAAAGCTTGTTTTTGAGGGAATGAGTTATTTTTTTTGCTATTTTGCAGAGTAGTTTTGTAGTAACTGAGCTTAGTGTGTGTGCTTTTTTTCCCCCCTTTTTATAAAATAGAGGATTATTGATTCAATAATACACGTGACAATGATAGTGGACAAAACATTGAGACTTGGCACAATTTTTTTATATTTAGTAGAATCGCTTTATACATCACGTCCCAGCGTGTTCAGTGGGGCAATTCAAAGAGCGAGTGTTGGCAATTTATCTGCACAGCGCTGGTGTAATTCCGAGCTTCAGTTTGCTCATTATATAAAGGACTAGTTTGATCCAATAGATAGCAGGATACTGGTTTAAAGGAGAACTCCATATTCAGCCAACAGTGCAACATATATTGCTGGACAATGCTGTAAACATGAGCAGATATATTTCAGTGAACATGTTTTGCTCATTTTGAGAATCTTGATTTGTGCAAAATGTTTGTCCAGACAAACTGGGCAGCAAGTACAAGTCACAGCTTCTGTTTGAGGAGGGCAAGGAAGGTAGTTTTGTACGTTTCGGCATTCCTTGCATCCAGTATGTTTTTTATAAGTGCCACAGACTATATATTTGCTATATAATTTGCCCCATCTAGTGGCTCATTTTGGTTGGAAGGGATGTGTGTGTGTGTGAATGTGTATATATAAGGGATGCGCCGATACCGTTTTTTCGGTATTGAGTACTGATATTTTTTTTTCCGTACTCGCCGATACAGAAGTCCCTTTTAAAGAAGCCGGGTGGCGCCTAATGACTCACTGCCCGGCTTCCTGATGAGCCGGAAAGCCGTGTCCATGCTTCCTCATCACCAGGTGACGAGAAAGCATGGAGCCGGCTCTCTGGCCAATCAGGAGGTGGGTAATTACTCGCCACCTGGCTTCGTGATTGGTCCGGAAGCTGGCCAATCAGGAAGCTGGGCGGCGAGTCATTACACGGCGCCCGGCTTCCTGATTGGCCAGAAGCTGGCTCCATGCACCCTCATTACCAAGAGGTGGAGTGGCGTAATTTTGGTGGGACCTGAACCACTGAAAATTGAACAATTAGAATACATTTGGTGTCTGTCCGTCCGTCCCCTCCACTTTATCTGCTGTTCATAGTAACAGACTTTTTTTTTTCCTGATTTTTGAATTAAGTGCTTTTACTTGGTGGTAACATATAGGTATCCAATAAACATGAATTGTTTTTCATGGAAAGGGATTTTGTTCCCAAAATGTAATCAAGCCTATGCTATGTTGGCCTGTTTGGTTGAATAGTGCTCAGCGGAGTTCTTCCTTACAGGTTTGTGTCACTTGTGCTATAGTGTCTGGGGGAAAAACAGCATTGAAAATCTGATTGCAGACCATGTGGTGGGAATCTGTTTCTTGGTGCTTTAGCTGTGTATATAATTGTATTCATTATATGAATTGGTTAGCGTCGATGCCTCTCAGCACTGGTGAACCTCACAATCACCGGTCCTGTACATATATGTATAATTTTCTAACCGTTTTCTGCTTTGTAATAGAAAATTGATAAAAAGCTGCATATAACCGCCCGGCAGATCCTGTTTTGTAATTTTCTTGTTTTTTAATTGTTTTCATGTACATGATGGCTAGCGGCAGTGTTTATAGAGATTTCTTCCCATACATCTGCAGCTATCTCTTGCTTTGGGTGTAAGCAGCCTTGTACTGTCTGTGTCGACTGGCTTGTGGTCATAGCATTCGTATGACATCCGCCATGCTTCTGAGATCATTCCTAATTCATTGATGGGTACATTTGGCCTGCAGTGGACCACCATTTGGCCTGCAGTGGACCACCATTTGGCCTGCAGTGGACCACCATTTGGCCTGCAGTGGACCACCATTTGGCCTGCAGTGGACCACCATTAGACCTGTTTTCAAGCAAGTTTTACCAAAGCCCATCACAGGTCTTAATGCAGAGGCAGACAGCCCTTTCCTGTTGGTAGTTGTCACAATGCTGTTGTCATCCTTGCAGTTCTGTTGACACCCGCTGAAAAGCAACCACAAAGTGATAGTCAGGTGGTGGCTTGGATTGGTTTCAGAAAGCATCTCAGCGAAATGCCAGAGGAATGTGCAGATGGGTAGATACCCTGTAAAGAACTCTACCCAAAAAAGGTATTTTTCCGTTGTACGGGGAAAGGTCAGTACGTGACTCACCGTAATGTCCTTATGTCTTTCAGGTAGCACAGAGGGCAGGTCTTGCCCCACTATGGTCATGTCATGCTTAACTTTTAGCTGAATGTCTGGTGTCACTTGAATATTCTGTCTATAGATATGGAGAATCCAATAGGGACCAGTAGAACACTGGCTACAATTGAGTGAAATGCACTTTGGAGGGGCTGTATTATGGCTATTGAGGGCCACACCTACTTCAAGGAAAAAGATTTATAGCACTTTGGCAACTAACGCTCGAGGAAGAATGCACTTACAACACTTAATCCTCCAGAAAGAGGACATAAAACTTTTCTTGAAGTATTTAGCAGCCATATTCTATTTGCATGTGTAACCTATTTTAGCTGGAGAACAGCATGGGCCTCAGTTAGTTTTAAGGGCTCAGTCACACCTTATCCAGCGCGTTACGGCACGGTTCGAGTCCAGAACGTACTGAATTTTTTTCTTTTGAGCATTTAGGATGAGGCTTTGATTGGGCTTTAAGTCTTTGAACTGACTGAGGGCCACAGAGGAGCAAGAGGGCCGCACGTGGCCAATATAGCCACAGCTTGACATGACTGTCCTGGCAGTTATAGGACACAGATATGCTGCATCAGTTGACCTCTAGAAGTTCCTTTATTGGAATCTATGGAGAATGCCCTTTTTTATTCAGTGACACCAGAAGCTCAGCTGCAAAGCCAAGCTCGGCCTGCTACTGTAATGGCAGATGGGGGAAATGTTCTACCAAATCAAAGAAGGCTATAAATATCGGCTTTAGATAGCACCCTGTCCCACTCCACCCAAAATTGTGGAAAATCCTTTTTGAATAAAAGTATGCAAAGAGATAAACTTTTTGTGCTTATGTCTCACAAAAAATACATTTGATAACTATAACAATATTTGAGTGTAAAATGAAAATGGGAAATCATTGTAAAATCTTAATATACACTATGTGATTAAAGGTTCGTAGATGCCTGGTCATGACGCATACCTATATGGCCAAGGACATGCCCCAGTTTGAGTTCAGGTCTTCCCAGTGAATGTTAATGCTGCGGCATAGAAAGACATTGTAGACAATTGTGGGCTTCCAGCCTTGTGAGAACAGTTTTGGGAAGGCCTTTTCTTTTCCAGCTTGACTGTGCACTGTGTAGAAAACCAGTTCCATAAAGACATGGTTCTATGGGTTTTGTATGGAGGACCTTGAGTGTTCTACACAGGGCACTGACCTCAACCCAACTGAGCACCTTTGGTATGACTCCAACCTTGTGGTAACAGTTTGGTGAAGTCCTTCCTGTTCCAGTATGACTGTCCCCTATGTACAAAGCCAGTTCCATAAAGACATGGTTCTATGGGTTTTGTATGGAGGACCTTGAGTGTTCTACACAGGGCACTGACCTCAACTCTACTGAACATCTTTAGGATAAATTGTAAGACCAATAGTGGGCCAGGTCTTCTCATCCAACCTCAGTACTTGACCTCACAAGTGCTCTGTAGGCTGAATAGGCACACAAACACACGCCGTAATGTTATGGAACGTCTTCCTAGAAAGCTGAAGGCTATTGCTGCAGAGAGACAGGGGTGGACAACTCCATATTAATGCTCATGGT